TGGACGTACCTTGCATGCGGTGGTAGTTATTAGTATCAGTTGCGTTGACTCGACAACTACCACTGTACTACATCTCAGATGCTAGTCGCTATTCCGTCAAGTCGACGCTTCAAAGTCTGGTTCGAGGTCTCGGAATCTCGGGACGCTGCAGCTGCAAGTTGGTTATACAACGCGGCGGCGGATCGCAATAGGTGCGAAAGCGGAAGGCAAGCTGGAAGCCCATAGTGTGTGGAGAATGTGGGCATGTTTCGCAGACAAGAGTATGGAGGGGATCTAGGGTAACGATACGAGCTGAGAGGGTGGTTGTGGTAGAATGGTGGCTCTCTAGGGAGGAGGGAGGGAATTGGCATTCCACCCCGACACGATAGTGCCGGTTGGTATTCCTATCCATCCGTCCTCGTTGTAAGCTTTCGTCAAATTTATAGGATTACCTAGTGTTTGAGCTATTGATTAAAACGTCATTAGGGGTCTTGTGCGTCATTCTCCCAAGCCTACTCACCACCATCTAAGAGTTTGAGGGTCCAGAATCTGGACTCCAGACTGCACGAGCATTAAACAAAAAATAATCTCACTAGTAGCAAAAATGACGCTTTCTACAAAATTCCCACGACGCAGTTTGGATGAGGATGTACAAAACGACCACTGCATGAGATTGCCCTGCAAGTGAAACAGATGTCCCATATATTCGTACACGAAAACACTGCAGCATTGAGTGGAGTCACATATTTGAGGAGATGGCAGCGAGTCGTCTCCTTGTCGCATTGGACACAGCGATCTGACCCAACCCCTCTGCATCTGACGGCGGGCGCAGCGCAATTGGCTGATAGTGGCGGAACCACTCTCCGATGTAGCACTATTTACACATGAAAACACGGAATGGAGAAGAGAAATGCAAGGGGCACGGCAGAGGAAAGGTTTGAGACGCAAGCCAGTGCAAGGGAAGCGAGACAGCCACGATTCTCCACTATGTGCCATGAGACGTGGATGATGTGGTGGCACTCAAAAGGATGGCAGCTTACAATGTCGACATGTTGATGTGTAACCCGCAATGGTGTAAGAGCAGCGTACCTGTTACAGAGTACTATCTCTGCTGCAGGAACAGGCTCTGTAACATCACTTCAGCAGTAGCACACCTGCCATGGGCGCATGATACCTCCTGAGAGGGCAGGGTACCTCCTGAGAGGGCATGATGCCCGCAGCAACCCACCTCCTGAGGGCGCATGATGCGCGTGTCGGGGTCATCAAGGGACTCCTTCCAGTGCGCCAGGTACCCCACCATGCGCGGAATGGCAAAGAGCACCGGGAAGAACTCCGTTGGGAAGCCCAGCGCACTGCAGCAATTAAGGGTGGGGTTAGAGGAAAGGAATGGGTTTCCATTGGTGTGGTGAAGGTCATGTTCTCAGGGCGCCCTGGCATGGCATGGCGCAACTGACACGGAAGTGACTGACCCTTCCTGACTGACACGACCTGATAAGTCACAGGGCTTGACAGGCATGGCGGGACCGACCGGTAGATGAGGCTGGAGAAAAAGTCAACGTCGGGGTAGAGATTGCACTTGATGAGATACTGGATTAGGCACCCTGATGTAATGGCACAATCATGGCACGACTGGCATGGCACGACTGGCATGGCACAACAGGCAGGGCATGACTGACCGGTAGATGAGGCCGGAGTAGAAGTCCACGTTGGGGTAGAGCTTGCGCTTGATGAAATACTCGTCCGACAGGGCTGCCTGCTCCAACGCCACTGCCACCTGTGAGAGGCCACACCATGCAGGCACGCACACACGGTCAGGGGAAAGAACCAGCCTGCGGATGACCTTGGCACGTGGGGTCCAATTCCAAACATGCAGTGCAAAGCACGATGCAATCACCCCATGCAAGGGACACCAATTTCCCCAATAAGCGCACCTCAATGAGCGGGTCGCGCCCCACGATGGAGAACACCTCCTCCGCCAGCCCGCGGATGACCTTTGCGCGCGGGTCGTAGTTCTTGTACACGCGGTGCCCAAACCCCGACATGCGGCGCTTGCGGTCCTTCACGCCCTGGATGAACTCGGGGATCTTGTCCGCACTGCCTATCTCGCTCAGCATCTTCAGCACTGCCTCATTGGCCCCTCCGTGCAGCGGCCCGTACAGCGCACCCGTAGCTCCTGCCAATGCCGTGTACACATCTACTCCACTGCAGGCGGAGAGGGGAGGGGGTTGGGAGCACGATAATGAGTTGATTTTCCAGTCGATTAGAATAACATCACGTCCTGCCAATCCTGTGTACATATCCACTTGACTGCAACAAGGGGAGTGGGGAGGAGGCGTTGAAAAAGACTAACTTGATTACTGAAAATCCCCCTAAATACGTCAATGGCATGCCAGATGAGAACTGGAAGAAAGGCGGGTGAGAAGCAGGCGCTTCACTGGGAATGAGAGAGAGAAAACACAGCACCTGGAGGCAATGAGAGCAAGCATGCACGGGTGGTAGGCACCTGGAGGCAATGAGAGCAAGCATGCACGGGTGGTAGGCACCTGGAGGCGAGGTGGCGAGCGGCGGCAGTAGAGCAGTTCATCTCGTGCTCCGTGTGCAGGATGAAGAGAATGAAAAGAGGCAAATGCTCAAGGTAAACACGGAGAGCAAGCAATACCTGGAGGCGAGGTGGCGAGCAGCGGCAGTGGAGCAGTTCATCTCGTGCTCGGCATGCAGGATGAAGAGAATGTCCACCGCCCTCGCCAAGCGCGGATGCGGTCGGTATGAGCGGTCGCCCCTGGCGCAGACAGCAGAGGGATGGAACACACACACGCGTCAAGCACACAGATCACATACCCGGACAGAGACTCAAACAGCAACGTGCACAAAGCGGAAAAGCAAAGAAATCATTCCACGGTGGTTCACAGGCGAAATGGCTCACATGGAGTGGAGCAAGCAAGGTGGTCTCACATGGAGTCGAGCAAGCAAGCTGGTCTCACATGGAGTCGAGCAAGCAAGCTGGTCTCACATGGAGTCGAGCATGTAGAGGAAGTTCTCAGCGTATGACAGGTGGCCTGCTGGTGCCACAGGAGGCCGCCCCGCCATGTGCAGGTACGCTGCTGCTGCTATGGTGGGCACCTGTTGAGCGGAGGCAGGAGGAAACAGGGGAAGGGGAAAATGCGTCTCATTTTATTAGAAGTTGGAATGTGCAGTGAGGCGCCTCGCACAAGGCAGGAGGCCGCCCGCCAGGTTCAGGTACGCTGCTGCTGCTATAGTGGGCACCTGGTGGGCGGGGAAAGGAGAAAACAGGGCACAGAGACGTGTGACGAGACGCCCTACAGACAACACACAAGAGGCCACCCCAAAAGGGGCCGGTATGCTGCTGCTGCTTTTATGGTGGGAACGTGGTGGACTAAGGCAGGAGGAGAACAGGACATGCAAGAAATACTGTGCAGCTGGCCGGATTGCACTGTGAGGCACGTTACACACTCCACACATACGCCTCTGCAGGTGCGCTGCTGCGGCTCTAGTGGTGGTGAGTTGGGCACCTGGTGAGAGAGCAGTGTAGCTAATAGCCATACCTTGCCGAGAACTCGCACGATCTGCTTATTGCGAACGGCCTTGGACTTGTACAGGTCCTGGCCCTGCACAGGGACATGCCATATTTGGACATGAATTGGGGCTCTTGAGTTGACTTGACTGCAACCTCTGTGTAAATAGAGTTGACTTTGTGAATTAAAAGACTGGGCGCGAGTGCAACGGCCGAACATTATCCTCGCATGAATCAAGGAGAAGCGAATAGGGAATGGTTGAAGCAATTCAAAAGCTTGTTTGCAGAACGTGCACAAGCGCGTCAAGGCACCTGGAGAGCAGGGTTGGCATCGGCGTGGAAGGAGGAGAGCGCGCAGAGCGCCCCTGTGAGCACACCCATGGGGTGACTGTCCCGAGGCAGAGCCGCGATCACCGCCTGGCACGTCGCACGGACGCACACAAGGAGAAGCAGGAGAGGCGCGGGGGGGCGGAAGAGCGCAGTGAGACAGGACGGATGGGCAAAAAGGAGCAGGAGGGAAATAGGGGACAGGAGGGGTACAGAAGGGTAGTATCAGGAATGTGCTGGTCGAATGTGCGATTCAGTGCAGGAAAGTATGACACACGGGAATTCAGCAATATGGTTGGTCAGTCAGGAAATGACTTGGCGTTACAGTACTATTCAAGCAAATTGTTATTCGTTAATTTCGTAAATGGAGGTGACTGGCTGGTTTGTTAATAAAAAAAATATTCCTATCACAAAATTGACAGATTCCGTCAACGCACCAGAACGCCGTCAGGGAGCGCGGAGTGCTGCATGATGGTCCCCTCCCAGTCCGACAGCTGCTCCTGGTTCGGCAGACTGCCGTACACTGCCAATGTACACCATAACGTTAGTGTTCTGAATTTCCACTACAAATGCAGAAGAAAAATGTATCACTAGCACACGACATTGGGCGTCGACTTACTTAGTAGGTAGGCCGTCTCAAGGTGTGTGCTTCGCTCCGCGAGCTCCTCAATCGGGTAACCGCGATATCGCAGAATACCCTTGTCGCCATCAATGTAGCAGATGGCCGACCGCACAGGTGCGGTGTTGAGATAACCCGGATCATACAACTTCAAACCATTGCCGTCTCCCCCAGCCTTGATCTGCCGCACCGAGAAGCAGTCACATAAAAAAATTACTGCTTTGTAGTCAGATCACGAAAAAAACCGGCGTTAAAACAATGCTGCGAATACACGCTTCCGTGACGCGAGGTGTTAAGACTGACCTTTTTGAAATCGCTGGCGCGAATGGCGCCGTCCTCGTTAATCTCGAGCTCGTATTTCTTCCCGGTACGACCGTCGACGACGTGAAGCACGCCGGGACCGCCGCCAGGTGCGGGCCTGACTTCCGCTGACGTGGGGTTCACACGAAGCCACTGGCCGTCCTGTCCAACGTCGGATAGCGACAAGTGACCGGCTAGGACGGACAGACGACTGGCAGCGCAATCGCGCGATTCAGTACCCATGGTTTCAATCCAGAAATTGATTTTTCTTGATGCGGATCAGAAGCCTACTTGATCCAATGCAGTAGCTGCTGGTCTTGGAGATTAGGATAAGAATAAAAGTTTCCAGTGAGAGATTGAACCTCGGACAGGCTCGAAACGCTGTCGAAAGTCGAAACCTGGTGTCCGTGGCTACACTGACGGCACAGAAAAGCTCACAGCAGTGACTGACCATTGCGAGGTGAATGAGAGAAATATGAAACTGATGCTCGTCAGGCACTGACAGATTTGATGGCAGAGTTGGCTCGCTGAAATTCCACTGGGGTGGTGTGTCTGTCAGCGTTGATGAGACGATCCGACGGAGCTAAACGTAACGGCAACGGAAATCGAGGTTTTGGGGCGATTGCCAGCAGAGAGTTGACGTGGAGCTGGGCCCTTGTGGTCCCAGCCATACCAACACGAGGAAACTTCTGACAGAGCTGGATACCGCACCGCCTTGGATGTTCTCGCCAAGGCACGTCATTGAAGGGCTATTCCACGCATGCCAAGGTCCACGCCCAGCCCACGTGGAATCCAGCTTTTATTCAAAACATTGCTGGTTGTGATACGTTATTATTGCCCACGTGTGTTGAGATAGTGATGGCAATAGCCAAAGGAAACTGACAAGGCACAAACATGGTATATTTCGTGCAACTCCATCATAATTCCAATCAAGCAGGTCAATATTGTGACTTTCTTCTTGCGAAGTGTATTTCGTGCCTCTGGGAACATCCATACCTCTCCTCGCTGCTGCATGTGCTCCTTTTTCTTCAGCACCCAATTCCTTCCCTTTGCCCATTTCCTACTCGGCTTTTTGCTTCGTCCTAGGTTGTTGCCTCTGCCTCTGTTACAATCCCAAGTGGGACTTAGCGAAGGATCGCTCAGGATTGATCGCAGAGTAGTATTGCAGCGGAAGTTTGAATCTCAGGTCAGAGTGAATGTAAATGACTAAGTTGATAAAAGCATGCATACATCGGGTTTATTTAAAAATACAGGGGTATACGAAAAGACATAGACTAGCCATGTACTCTAAGTGGTACATTCCTTTATTGCAACAAAATTAAAAACTGTGCGACGCAGGATCCCGTTTTGAACCTGTTCCCGCTCTTTTCACTTCAAATGTTTCTGCCTGCATTGGTCTTGGTCAGACGGTTGCAGCGTCGCTTCGACTCTTCTGACTCCTCGACTTCGTACTCGGTAGGGTCGGCTCCTGCAGCATACAGAAATGCCTTCTCATAAAACTTCATATCGTAACACTCCCCTTCATTCCTGGGCGCAGGAGGAGCTGACTCGCTTGACTACTCCGGTAAGGTCAGAGTAGTGCTTGTACTGCTGACGTGGCTGGCGTGAGAAGATTTGAACAAGAATGGATGAACTATGAAATGAAGTGAGTACAAATATGAAACCCTAATTGGTTGTACCCCCTATGGGATACCCCACTATAGCCTACACAACAGCATAAGCTATAATGTTCTGACACACCCCCATAGGCAAAGTGGGGGAGAACAAGGGGTCACAAGACCAGTCAAGCAAAGTAAAGCAAAGCAAGCTCAGGGTGGATCACAAAGTCACCACACAGTCCGAGCACAGGGTCAAGGCCACACGGCCAGTTCACATGCAAGAGTACACACATATATATAAAGCTAGACAAGCAAGAGCAGGTATATATATATGTGAGAGTACAGGCAAGATCAAGAGGAGAGCAAGTGAGGCAAGACGGGCACAAGACCCAGCTGAGTGCAGAAGCGCTGATGATCACAAGGCGGAAGTGCCTTGGTGAAGACATCAGCAGTGTTGGCCTCAGAGGCCACGTACGCAAGCCGCAACTGACCACGTTGCTGTAGCTCACGAGCAAGGAAGTAGCGGAGAGCAATGTGCTTTGTTCTGTGCTCCAGTCGCTGCTCTCGACACAAGGCCAGCATGGCCTTGTTGTCTACGTACAGGACTGGAGGAGAACGAGGCGGCTCTCCAAGGTCGGTCAGCAGGTAGGTGAGCCAGCGAAGCTCCTGTGCAGCCATGGCCCCGGCGTAGATCTCAGCCTCACAACTCGAGCCAAGAACAGAAGACGAGCGAGTAGCCCGCCACGAAACAGAGCCGGAACCAAGGCTGAAGGTGTAACCCTGTGACGACCGCTGCGTAGCCTGGTCGTCGGCCCAAGAAGCGTCCGCGTGCCCAGTGAGGACCACTGGACTCCGCCCTCCAAGCACTAGCCCCATGCCCGACGTACTGCACAAGTAGCGCAACACCCTCTTCGCTGCAGCCATGTGCTCTGGTCTGTGTCTCCCAGGAGCAACATAGCGTGCCAGAATGCTAAGAGGGTATGCAAGGTCAGGTCGTGTGCAGGTCATCAGGTACATGAGGCAGCCAACAAGCTCTGGGTACGGGCCACTCGACTCTACGGACTCATCCGAAGGCAGAGCTGAGAGCGAGTGGCGAGTAGACAGAGGAGTGGCCTGAGGCGAGGAGTACGTGAAGCCGAAGCGCTGAAGGACCTGCTGCACCATGTGTGACCGAGTCAGGGTAATGGTGCGGCGTGCTCTGTCCCGGGTGATCTGCAAGCCAAGGTAGCTGCGCAGTTCACCTAGGTCTGTGCACGTGTGTCTCTTCTGCAGCTCGGACTTCACGTAGGCGAGTCCAGCAGTGTCAGCTGTGGCAAAGACCAAGTCGTCGACGTACACGAGGATGTAGAACGGCGGCAGAGAGGTGTCGGTGCGTAGAAACAGCGACGGGTCGGCAGTAGAAGGAGCAAACCCAAGAGCCGCAAGTGTAGTCCTCAGTGTGTCGTGCCACTCACGTGGCGCCTGGCGGAGACCGTAGACTGGACGCCGGAGACTCCACTGGGTACCAGAAGGGAAAGACCCAGTGAAGCCAGGTGGGCGACGCAGCCAGATCTCCTCGTGCAGGCTGCCCTGCAAGAAAGCTGTGCTGAAGTCAAGAGAGTGCAGCTCGTAGTCACGGTGAGCAGCAACGTGCAGCAGTACCCGAAGAGTGGTCATCTTCGGGGTGGGGGAGAAGGTCTGAAAGTAGTCAACTCCCTGCCGCTGACTGAAGCCACGAGCCACGTAACGCGCCTTGAAGACAGGCGGAGAACCCGGCGGCCGCTTCACCCTGAAGATCCACATGCCACTGACGATGTTCGCCCCAGGAGGGGGGACAGCGTCAACGTAGGTGCCTGTGGACTTCCAGGAAGCCATCTCTGCATCCATAGCTGCCTGCCACTGAGAGGAGTAGGGACCCTCTATCGCCTCCGCGTAAGAGCGCGGAGTCGGGATGTCAAGTGCATCCGGGTCTCCCTCAGGGGTAAGCAGTACGGACACGAGATGAGGTGAGGCAGCTGCCAGACACTGGAACTCCTCCTGCCTGTCCTCAAGGACGTCCGTGCCAAGGGCACACTCACCCCCGACGGACGGAGGACAGACAGACTCAGACTCAGCGACAAGACTAGCAGCGTAGTCCAAGCGACAGCGAGTAGCAAAGTCGACGAGCTCAGTAACTAGAGCAGACGCAGCAGTAGACTCGAAAGAAGGGTCAGTGACAACAGTAGCAAGGAGACGCGTGACAGTAGGACTGGCAGCACGAAGAGAGTCCGACTCCGGGTCGGCAAGAGCAGGAAGAGAGGACTCAGGAGGAGAAGGCAAAGGGGCACGCAGAGGAGCAGTGGACGGACGCAGAGACATCCGGTGCGTGCCAGGGACAGGAGGAGGACGCTGACGCGAACCGCGACCACTAGTGCGAGCAGCACGGACAGGCGACGCAGGGCGAGACGCAGGCTCACGACGCTCAGCCAGACCTCCAGTAGGACTAGTGTAGGGAGAAGGAGCAGGCAAAGGGGAGGTAGGCTGCAACTGTAGCTGGGACGAGACAGGCTGTGGACACTCTAAGGGAGGAGGAGGACCAGTAGAAGGTGGAAGACCAAGAACCTGCTGCAGGAGTGGCACGAAGTACGGTCGAGGCCGCGCGGCGACGCTAGAAGCAGCAGGGACAGCACCAGAACCCTCAGCAGGAGCACCCGCTCCAGCAGCACCACCAGTAGCTCCAGAACCTCCAGCAGCACCAGGAGCACCCCCAGTAGGACTGCCAGCGGTAGTCTCAGCGCCAGCACCCTCAGCAGCACCAGCTCCAGTGCACCCAGGACGAGCACCTCTGGGACCCGCGACCGCAGCACCCTCAGCAGTCGAAGGACCTCCAGCACCAGCAGCACGCCTCCAGCGCCGGGCAAACCACTCACGCAGCTCCTGTGGAGAAAGTGGCTCCCGGCGAGACGAAGCACTCGGAGAACCTCCAGGCGGAGCACCTCCAGGCTCAGCACCCCCAGGCGTAGCACCCCTAGGCTCAGCACCCCCAGACGTAGCACCCCTAGGCTCAGCACCCCCAGGCTCAGCACCCCTAGGCTCAGCACCCCCAGGCTCAGCACCCCCAGGCTCAGCACCCCTAGGCTCAGCACCCCCAGGCTCAGCACCCCTAGGCTCAGCACCCCTAGGCTCAGCACCCCCAGGCTCAGCACCCCTAGGCTCAGCACCCCCAGACGTAGCACCCCCAGGCCCAGCACCCCTAGGCTCCGCACCCCCAGGTACAGCACCCCCAGCCTCAGCACCCTCAGCAGCACCAGAGTCACCAGTGACCTCGACAGGCTCGACTGCGTCTACCTGGGACACACCTGAAGGGGCAGGACCCTGAGGGGGGAGGGGGTCTACCTGGGGGGGACCTGGTACCAGGAAGAGTGGGGGTGGGGGGAGGGACGGAGTGCGGTAGGGGAAGAGGCGGTAGTAGGGGACCGACTCGTCAAACGTGACGTCCTGGGAGGACAGAACACGGCGAGAGGTGGGGTGGTAAAACTGCCACCCAGGCGCGTCAGGGGGGAACCCCAGGAAGACGCAAGGAGCAGCACGAGGGGATAGTTTGTCCGCAGACAGGTCGCGGACAAACGCCCGAGATCCCCAGACCCGGAACGCCGACGCATCGCCAACCTTCCCCGTCCACAGCAA